TTGCTTTGTTTTGTTTTCTGTTTATTTTTCACTCTGAAATATTACAATTATTCTCATATTATTCATCTCTTTATTGTTAGCCCCTCAAATGCTTTCCATTAGAAAAGTGGGGTAAAACCATTTGAAATAATGAAATAAAATACAACAAAAGGGAACACATTTTCATTTTAATCAATAACTATATACTGTATTTCATCATTTGAAAATGTTAAAAGTAAAGTGCAAAATGTAACCATCATTTTGTAACCAAGCTATTATATAATTCAATTGCATTTGCCAAGGGTTATAATGGATCAGTATGAAAGTTTGTTCATTTTATTTTAAATAAGTACTTAAACTTTCCTTAAACTAAAAAGAATATCATTAAATTAGTACTTTTGTCCTTCATACTAATCTATTTAAGCTGCAACTAGATCAAAATTGTTCTAGTTCATATTAGCATTGAGAGGCTTTTAAAGTCAATATTCTTTCCCACAATGAAGAACAACTATTGCTCATTAATGGTAGAAATATTTACAGAAATCTGGGTTTTGTACTTGTATTTATATTTGAAACCCTAAACAGTTGTCAGTCCTTGTAATGGTGATATTCAATTTCAGTGGATATTTTGGCTTTGCTTAAGTTAAAAGTGACCAGTAGGAAATTTTTGATCAGTATATGCAGTTTTAGACAATAAGAGAGATAGCATAGATCAAAGGTGTCAAACTCATGTCATCACGGCAGTGTCATGTGATGAATTGGGTCAACCCCCCTTCGCTAAACCAGGTGTGGCCAGAGCGTGACAGCCCTGGCATAGATCAATGTGAGACTCAGATTCCCAAATGAATAGAGGACATTCAGTGTTATCAAATGTGTTTATATACATACACATTAGGATAGGGTAGGGTAGGGTAGGATAGGATAGATTGAATCTGGCAAGATTCTGTCTATTTGGTGTTTACAAATGAAGAACTGGACTTTGGCTGGATTGTTTTATGTCATTGTTGGGCTAGGTCTATCATTCAGGAAAGCAAGAGAATTCTGAATAATTTCCACAGTGAACAGCAAGTGGGATGGTATATTCCTATAATTATAGCATTAACATAAAGTCATCCTCAAAGAAACATGCGCAATGTGGCTTCAAGATTCATAGATAAACATTCCCTCTCTCAAAAAGAAGCAAAAAAATAATCAAAGCATTTTAGAAAACATAATCAAATGAAATAACGACTGTTTACTTGAGCTGTAGTGCCAGAGCAGACATTTATTGGTTTAATTTGAACTTAGCTTATAGAGTGGTCAATGTCTGGAATACTCTACCCGACTCTGTAGTTTCTTCCCCAAACCCCAAAAACTTTAACCTTAGACTGTCTACTATTGACCTCACCCCTTTCCTAAGAGGTCTGTAGGGGGCGTGCATAAGCACACCAACGTGCCTACCGTCCCTGTCCTATTGTTTCTCTTATTCTTCTTTTATTTTTTCTTATATGTACCCATTTCATGTATTCACAACTATGTATTCACTTATACTTATTATCTTGTAAACAATTGGCAAATCAAATAAATAAATAAATAAATAAAACAAGTTTTTGGGCAGAAGCAAAATTAAATTAAAAATTAAAAAATAAAGTTCATTCCAATGTTAGCTTTCTAATCTTATTGGTCTGTGTCAACTTCTAGCATATATCAAAAACTATTTTCTCTCTCTCCTTCTCTCTCTCTCCTTCTCTCTCTCTCTCTCTCTCTCCCTCCCCCTCCCTCCTTTCCTCCCACCCTCCCTGTGTGTGTGTTTGTGTGTGTGTTTGTGTGTGCATGTGTGCATGTGTGTGCGTGCACATGCATTTATATATGAGCTGGAATCTTTCAGCAACAAACCTAGAGGATGATTAGATGACATTTTAAGACATTTCTAAATTATTCTATGACACACTGGATGTTAGAAAGAACATTTAGTTGATGATTCTTCACATCCTATATTTAAAGTCCCCCCAAGAATTAGTTTTACGTTCTGTTCCTATATTTCTTACCCATCTACTTATGTCAGAAACATTTATCATGATTTTTAGAAACATAATTTTGAGTACTAATTTCCAGTCAGGTATAATTTTCATAGCCTTGTCTGGCTGTTCCTCTTGACCTTGTAAAATCTCATTTCATATGACCTGTGTCATGAGTTGTTATATAAAATAGTAGCCTAATCTGTATGTGGTATATATTTTATCATCTTTTACTGTCATCATAATAGTATTTGAAGCTATGTTCACTGGCAATGGACTTCAAGAAAAGATATAGATGAATTATTTTTGCAAATCAAGAGTGTCAGGGGGAAGTTTTGTGGCAATATTTATTTTGCTTTCCTAATTTCTACCCCAGGGTCTCTAACACTGAACTCTACTTAAAATTAAAACTACAAGTTACTAGAAAACATTACTGATCACAGAAATTGAAATAAAAAAGTAAGTGGGAATAATGGAAATCATTGTATTAATACTTGAAAAGTGTATCTAGTAGGAAACTGAGTTCTAATAATGTTCAATATGTACTTGTTGTTTAGGCAAGCCCATCCTGAACTGTGAAAGATTTTGTTTTGAATTGTTACTCCTCTTAGCCACCTTTCTATCAACATGATGCATTTATTTTCATAATGGCAGATTGCAATCTTGATGTTTATCTTCTTTGACCTTATGATTGTTTCAAAATGGTACATCAGTGTTTTATCTCATGGAAACATCTGTTATACCATATGTAGAAGAATGATCATGGCTTTTGTGTGGGCTTGTTCAGAAAAAGTCTAATTTTCACCTGTACATATACATACACATGGAGGGAAAGAGGAAAAGGAAAAAGAAGTGGAAGAAAAAGAGTTAATCTGATGAATTAACTCCATTTTGTCCTAGAATTTTATAGTACCCATCTTGTAACTCTTCATAAAGGTCTATATCAAGGCTATCAAACTCGCAGCCCATGGGCCAGATGTACCATGCCCACGCCCAGTTTAGGGAAGGGGGGAAAGGTTGTGATATGTCACATGACACTGCTGTGACGACGTGAGTTTGATACCCCAGTCTATACAGTCAAGACAAAATTTTTGCAAAATATTTTAATTCACACCTTTCAAATTACAACCAATCAAATTCTCAACTTATTTAGCTACCTACCTACCTACCTGTGTATGTGTGTGTGTGCATGGATGCCTTCAAATCAATTTTTGACCAAATCCCTGGATTTTTCTTGGCAAGGTTTTTTTTTATTTTCCCTTTCTTTTTTTCCTAGGATTGACAGGAGGGACTGGTCCAAGGTCACCCTGGTGTATTTGTGCCTAAGGGGCAACTGCAACTCGCAGTCTCTCAGTGTTTAGCCTGATGCCTTTAACCACTACACCAGACTGGCCCTCTAATAAATATAACCTTCAGTGAATTAAAAACATTCAGCTGCCAAATACAGATCCCCCTACCACTGTGTAGCCCATGATGTGCAGCATGAACAAAGGAGAGAGTATAACTATAGCTGGTTGCAATTCCAGTTAGGAAAAAGACTGATTGCCAGATTCTGATACTTAGAGATGGAAAAATGGAACTCTGCCTTAGACTTTCCAGCCTATGCCTACAATTGCATTTCAGTATAACCTTATTGCAGAAATGGCTTACTTTAAATTGAATGGAATAACCTGATTTCAGAAAATATTTGCTTTCAGTGGAGAAGCTCAGATTCAATGAATGGCTCAGATTCAATGTGTCAATGGCTGTGCAGTTGTAACCCTTTGTTTGTACAATGCATCCAGATTTCAGTCAACAAAAACTTGACAGTACCTATCTCCTATTATTTTAACAATCTTTAACTATATAATCCAATCATAAAAATGTGCACACATCATAGTTTTTCTCATATATTTTTTTAGGCTTCCCATCTTACCTCAAGATAACTCTGGGTGGCTCACAATTATAAAAAGAATAAAAACTATATAAATTAAAAACAGAAATAAGTTATTACAAAATCTAAACACCTTGACCGAATTCAAAGATGAAGAGGGAGGGAGCAGAATAGGGGCAGGTGGGATCCATTGTTAATTGATCAAATCCAAAGTAATGCTCCCCAACATAGTTTGAAAGAATCAAGAATGACTTCATATGGTTTTCTCCTACTATATTGTATAAATATTATTGATTTATTTGGTACATTGAAATAATTTATTAAAAACTTGCAAATATCAAGAATTGCAATTAGTTAAGACAGCCATTGCAAAGCAAAGCAAAACAGTACATTACCAAGATGTCAAATATCAAATCTCTCTGAAAACCATTACGAATGCAGTCTCTTTTCTTTATTTAGGCTTAAAAACCTCTTTTACTGGCAGCAGGAAAGATGAATTTCAGACATGTATTTTGAAGCATTTGCTAATCCTTTGACCTAATAGGGAAAAGACATATTTAAAAATTCACCCAAATAATTTTCCAGCTATGTTTGTATAATTTCTCTGATAGATACAGTATTTATTGTATTTTGTCCCAAGTGTCAATACATGATTTTAAGTTCTCTGTTTATAGATGTGAAAATCTATAGTTAACAGTTCTAATCCAACATAAATATTCTGGTTGAAACAGGATTTCCCTGATGTAACAGATGTTATAGCTCAGTAAAACTCAGTAATAGAACAGAATAGAATTCTTTATTCGCCAAGTATGATTGGACACACAAGGAATTTTCTTGGTGCAAATGCTCTCAGAGTACATAAAAGAAAAGATACATTCATCAAGAGTCAAGAATCATAAGGTACAACACTTAATAATAGTCATAGAGTATAATAAGCAATCAAATCATACTAGGAAAGAGTCAATATAAATCGTAAGGATACAAGCGACAAAGTTACAGTCATACAGTCACAAGTGAGAGGGGATGGGAGATAAAGAGTGATGAGAAGATTAATAGTAATAGTAGTGCAGACTTTGTAAATAGTTGGACAGTGTTAAGGGAAATATTTGTTTAGCAGAGTGATGGCGCTCGGGGAAAAACTGTCCTTGTGTCTAGTTGTGCTGGTGTGCAGTGCTCTATAGTGTCATTTTGAGAGTAGGACTTGAAACAGTTTATGTCCATGATGTGAGGGAGTCTGAAAATATTTTCACAGCCCTCTTTTTGACTCGTGTAGAATACAGGTCTTTGATGGAAAGCAGGTAGGTAGTAATTGTTTTTTCTGCAGTCCTAACTATCCTCTGAAGTCTGTGTCTGTCTTGTTGGGTTGCAGAACCAAACCAGACAGTTATAGAGGTGCAGCTGACAGACTCAATAATTCCTCTGTAGAACTGTATCAGTAGTGCCTTGGGCAGTTTGAGCTTTCTGAGTTGGCACAGAAAGAACATTCTTTGTTGTGTGTCAGGGCTCCAACAAATCCACCCTCAATCCAAATCAAAAATCTCTAGCTGCATCTCAGAAAAAAGTAAATTGTTTTATTAGAAATTGCCATGTTGGCATGTGGCTTTTTTTATAATGTTTTGATGTTAGTTGTCTATTTAAGGTCTTGTGATATGATAGAACCTAGAAATTTGAAGGTCTCTACTGTTGATACTGTGTTGTCTAGTATTGTAAAAGGTGGTAGTATGGGAGGGTTTCTCCTAAAGTCTACCTCCATTTCTACGGTTTTGAGTGTGCTCAGTAACCAAAGATTAGAGAATAGGATCTAAATAAAAACAAACAAATGAGAATAGTGAAATAGGAATTACAGAACTTACTATAGATAATAGTGTCTAAAACAAAAACAAGTGATTTTCTAGGGATGGGACCAAACATCTGTTTATTTGTTTTTAACTTCTGGTGTCAGGGCTCCAACAAATACCCCTCATTCAAAGCAAAAGTCTCTAGACGCATCTCAGAAAAAGTAAATTGGTTTATTAGAAATTGCTCTGCTCCCCCCCTCCCCATTGGTGCTTGGATGAAAAGCTGAGCTAAGACCCTGAGGTGACCCAATAGTCCGCAGGAACTTCCTCCAAAATTTTTCCGTGAACTGGACTCTGTCTGAGATAATTCTTCGTGGCAGACCATGCAGGTGGTAGATGTGTTTCAGAAACAGCTTGGCTAATTGGTGGGCTTAGGATAGACTGCTACATGGTATGAAATGCACCTGTTTGGAAAATAAGTCTATTACAGTCCAGATCACCATGTTTCCTCCACTTTTCAGTAACTCTACTATGAAATCTATTGCAATCTCCTCCCACGGCCTCGTGGTTCTGTAACAATCTGTAGCAATCCGGCGGGAGGTATTTCCTGGTCATTTTTTTATCATGGCGCAAATGGTGTAACTCTTCACATAGCTTTCCAGGTCTTTCTTTATGCCAGGCCACCAGAATTGCCTCCGAGCTAAGTGTAAAGTTTTTAAGAACCCAAAGTGGCCTGCCAGTTTGGTGTCATGGCTCCTCTGAAGGATTAGAGTACGTAGGGATTTTGGGACGCAACAAAGCAATAATTGCTTTGTTGTGAGTGGCTGAAATTTTCTGATTTTCATGAACTTTGATTAGCCAGAAAAATGAAAATAAATAAATAAATAATATACCTTTTATTTACTTCAAAATAAACAAACTATAAGCTACGGAGATGCTTAATCCTGACCTTGAATCTGTCATCAAATAAATCTTTGAAAACTCCTGATAGAAAATTTTATATTATTTTATTTAGTTATTTTATTTGTCAAGATAACAGGTATAATTAGAACATGATTATGATTACATGAAATGGATATAATAAAAGGAAACACTAGGACAAGATTGGTAGGCACGTTGGTGCATTTATGCATGTCCCGTACAGACCTCTTAGGAATGGAGTGAGGTCAACAGTAGACAGTACAAGGTTAAAGTTTGGGGAGTTTGGGGAAGAAACCATAAGTAGTGCATTTCAGGCATTGATAACTCTGTTCCTGAAGTCATATTTTCTGCAATTGAGTTTGGAGCGGTTTACCTTAAGTTTGTATCTATTGTGTACTTGTGTATTATGTGATTGAAGCTGAAGTAATCATTGACATGTAGGACATTGTAGCAGATAATTTTATGTACTAAGCTTAGGTCAGACTGAAAGTGGCATAGTTCTAATTTGTCTAAGCCCAAAATTTCAAGTCCAGTAATATAAGGTATTCTGTTGTGAGCAGAAGATATATTGTGAAATATCTCTGGTCTCTCTCAATTGTATTCATCTCTGATATGCAGTGCGGGTTCCACACAGATGAACTGTATTCAAGAATTGGTCTATCAAATGTTTTGTATGTTCTAATTAGCAGTACAATATTACCAGAGAAGAAGATACACAAGATTAGATTAACAACTCTTCATGCTTTTTTGGCAACGTTGTTACAGTGGATTCTGACACTTAGATCATTAGAGTACTCCAAGGTCCTTGACAGAGTGAGGGTCATTTACAAGCTTGTGTCCATCCAGCTTGTATTTTGTTTTGAATTTTTTTGCCAATGTGTAAGACAGAGCATTTGTTTGTTGAGATTTGAAGTTACCACTTGTTTGACCATTCTGATAATAGTCGAGGTCTTTTTGAAGGGCAGCAGTGTTGTCGGTGGTGTTAAATAGTTTTACATTATCAGCGAAGAGAACGCAGTTGCTTGTAATATGATTGCAAAGGTCATTTATGTAAAGTGTAAAAAGTATTGGTCCTAAAATGCTGCCTTGGGGGACTTCACTGTTAACAGTACAGGATTTGATGGGGCACTCCCTATTTTGACCACTTGTTGCCTGTTTGATAGGAATGCAGCTATCCAATTATACAGGAGTCCAGAAATACCATAAGATTTTAGTTTTAGAAGTAGTTTGTCATGTACCACTGAATCAAAGGCTTTACAGAAGTCTATATAAATTGTGTCTATTGCTTTGCCCTGATCGAGTTGTGTTCATATATTTTTGCAGTGTAGGAGTTGAAGATTACAGGATCATTTTTTTCTGAAACCAAATTGTTTGTTAGAAATTAGGTTGTTTGTCTCTAAATGAATGGTAATGGATTGATTAATGATGGATTCCATGACTTTGCAGGTGACGCAACATAAAGAGATTGGTCTGTAATTTTCAACTAGGCTGGGGTCTCCCTTTTTGAAAATAGGGATGACCGTGGTTAGTGACCATAGGTTGAGCAAGGAGCTGGACCTGAAAGATTTTTCAAAGATTATACTTAGAGGGTCTGCTATGGCAGTGGAAAGCTTTTTATGAAGTAAGCACATAGTCCATCAGGTCCAATGGATAGAGATGGTTTTAGATTGCATAGTGCCTTTTCAATGTTGTCTTCATGAAATCAATGTTCATTAGATTGTTGTAATTTTTTTGTGGTACGAATAGGAAATATTGGCCATGAGCCATTACTATTTACTATTTACAAATATCATCTATACCACCAGCTTTTATTATGATGATGGTTTAAATATAACCCACCAAGAACAATTGAAACAAGAGTGCCAAGTAAATTGACAATTTTTAAGAGGTCAAGTTTGGGATTGTTTTTCTTCATGGGTATTAACAAGGTTGAGAATCCTTTGAGAAAAAAAAGATAGACATCTCAGAGAAGAAGATTTTATTCTACGAGGAAGTGCTGCAAGTTAATCTACAACTTTGAACAGAGCATCTTTGAGATTTTTTTTTTTTCATGGATAGTATCAAGGTTGAGAATTTCTCAAGAAAAGAGACTTGATAGACATTCCTGAGAAGAAAACGATTTTATTCTATGAAGATAAACTGGAGGGAGTGACTTACATTTAATGACTTAGTTAGTTAGGATGGATAAATTAAGTTAGTTTTGAATTTATAAAATGAGTTTTGTATGTTTTCTGTCTTTCTATGGAGCATTGAATAATTCCATTTGTAAAATATTATTGATCAAATTTGAAAATAAGAGAAGAAAAAGATTTTACTCTATGAGGATAAATTTGAGGGAGAGATTTAAATCTAAAGAGCTAACTGGAATTAATTAGATTTTTATTGGTGTGATATATGTAATTGAATGAAAGTCTTAATGTTGTTTTGTGTTTAAAATGAAGGTTTTCTTGCAATGAAAAAAATGAAACTTTGATTTTGTTTTTGCTGATTAGATAGGTTTGTTGCTTTTCCCTCTTTGCTCCTCTCTTTTTTCTTTTTCTTTTTTTCAACTTCCTCCCACTTCCTTACACACACACACACACACACACACACACACACACGAATCTAGATAGAACCAACCTTCAGTAACCGATTATGGAGATGTGCAACATATTCTGGATTATTATTTTTAAAGATTATTGCTATTTTTACTATATTCAACACAAGTAAGCTCAAATCTCCTAATCAGTTCATTCTGGATTTGGCTAACAATTCTGACTGAGAGGGATGGGAATTGATTTTGGTAGGGGCAGAGTACATCCCGCAAAAAAAAAAAAAAAAGCTTTGATAGTAGTTCAGGTTAAGGGACCTGCTGCAGATGAAGGCATTGACAATAAGGGAGTCCACTCACTTCCTGCCCTAGAGGATTAAAGATTCTCAAAAGGGGAAAAATTTGTCATGTGTCCCCCAAAGAAAAAATAGAAATGTCTCAGTAATAGAGATAGTAGAAATATCCAAAATGGTGGACAAGAGGGTCATTTATCAATTCTGACCATCAAACAAATGGAAATACACAATTAGGGTTAGGGTTAGGGAGATTCCAAGGAAAGAGAAAACAGAGACAGAAGAAGTATGAAGGCTGAAGTTGCCATGTCTGGAAGAAAGAAATAAAAGCAGACATTATCAAAACAAAGTGGTGTCCTCCATATCCAAGGCTGAAAAAATGAGTGACAAATCAGATAAGTGTGAAAGAATGAGACATAAATTTACACCCTGGAGCTCTTATATACAGTTGGCTCAGGGGTGGGATTCAATTTTTTTTACAACCGGTTCTATGGGCATGGCTTGGTGGTCATGTGACTGGGTGGACATGGCTTAATGTTACAGGCTGGATGTGGCCAACTCAGTATCACTCACATCGAGGCACCCATCTCCTCGACTGGCCTCTCAAGACTGTGGGGATGCTGCAGCAGTCGTAAGTGTGAAAAATGGTCATAAGTCACTTTCTTCAGTGCCATTGTAACTTTGAAGGGTCACTCCACACAAGCAAAGTACCAGCAAAGGAAAGGAAAAAAATTCCAGAGACGTTCCTGAGACAGGAAGTCTAGTCCTGCCAAGAATATAATAAGGATTAATGGAGAGGCAGTTTCTATATGCAACACCAGAATGTTTCCTTCCT